CGGTGATACCTACATTCTTCCGTCGATAATGGATGCATACTCGGGTCTACTACTTGATGATGCCGCATTTTCCCGTGTTCCCGAACAAAACAAACCCGTTTTTATATATGACTGGTTGCGCAGTCTAGACCGTAGGCTTTCCCAATCGACAAAAACCGAGGTCAGAAATGTTCAGCAGGCTCTAATAGATCAACTCATGGTTCAAGTTACTCAGGGTGTGGGTCCACCATCTCGCAAACTGCTAGGAAGATGCTTAGCAAAAATTTTTACTGCGGGTGACTCGATTTCCCTTTACGCGGTGCTGAACAGCTGCAACGACGTACTCAAAGTCCGAGATGATAGCCCTTCGGCGATAAACAAAAGACTAACTGCTTTGGCATGTCTTGGTGTCATGTATCGAAGTCTTGGACGTCTTTGTGGTCGTTCCTTTGAAGAGACTGTTGGAATTTTAATCAGAATGATCAAGCAGGTATAATGCTTTTACATGTACTGCTGATAGCATCTTATATGTTGTCTGCCAAGACGACTTCTATTTAGGTGGAATCGCAAACACGATCCGAGATTCTAACGTCGCTTATGAATATTGTGACTGGTTTAGGAGCTGCTGAAACTTCGTGTTTTCGGGATATCTTCAAAGTTGCTAGATCATTTATCAATGATCGTGTTCTTGCTGTCAGGCTTGCCGCTGTGCAGGTGAACTATTATCAGTTATAATTCTTCCTACTTATTCATGGGTTTCTCGATCGTACTGCCCTTTCTTTCAGAGTAATTTGTTGGTTACTTTTTCTCATTTTTAGTGTCTCACAAGTTTGACTCGGTATCATTCGCATTTCTTCACCAGCGACTTAGACGCAGTAACGAGTATGTGCATAAAGGGCTTGGATGGATCTAACCATGCCGTCCGCATGGAGATCGCCAAGTTGCTCGGTTTTGTTCTAGCCAAAACTCAGTTGGACTCAGGCATTTTAGGAACTGTTGGCAGTATGAATTCTGTCACTGGCAACACGTCGACCGGCGGTATTTCATCTAGTAAGTTTACTCCATATTCAAAGCGATAGATATTAGTCTAACTGCTCCTAATTTCTGTGGTTCGGCAGAATTTTATGCAGACATTGTTTAGTTAATTCAGTCTTCACTGTATAGTCTCCAAATGCTGGCAACTGTTCTCAAAAGCATTGGGGTAAGTGGAATTCAGTAAGAGCAGCTCGAGCTTATTCTAACCCTTTTTCATACATTAGTTGCATATAATCTCATGAACGATTTGGCTTTCGGCCTATTTTCAACCGCTTAGATACGAGGTAGTTTCGTTTCTAGGCGGAATCCTTTTATTCGAAATGGCATTACTTTTTTTTATTTGCGGATTCGGGTTAATCTAAATTCTTATATTTCATAGAAGATTTTCTGTCTTACCTTATTTCTACGCGGTCTGAATGAAACAACAAATTTTATGCTTTCAGGAACAAAGTAACGGGTTAAATTCTTTTTATCTTCACTTCGATAACGCGGGTGTGTCAGCACGTACCTCTTTTTATGTAATCCTACGCTTGAGTTAACCAATAAGTTCGTTTTTTCCCGAAAAATCACGTATTCGCACCAACCTTGACGCATTTGATTCATTGTGAAATTTCCTGTTATGAGGCCCTGTCCTACCTTACTACCAGGCATTGCTTACATATCGGGATAGTTCATCTCTCAAGATAAACGATCAGTCTTCCTTTTGCTAGTTACTTCGCTCCTTGTTCTATCTGCGATGTGATTTTCGAGTGTTAGTACCAAAAAGAATATTATTACAATTAATGCTTATTATTCAACTCATCTTGGCTGGATTGGCATCCATTGTGCTAATAATTGATATGGTCATCGTTAGTTGGTGACCGGCCTTAACTTCATTCGGGTGAGGCAGTTGACCGAAGTGATGGAGCTGAACAATAGTTTTTGTCAGATTTATGAACTGGTGAGCCGCAAATATAAACATTGGGGTGATCTCGAATCGCTTTCTAGGAGCAGGTAACCATTTTACGCGCGTAATTTCCACCATATTGATTAAAATAACCATGGATTTTTATCGCGTACATTTTTTTTGAAGCATACATACGGAACCTTCGATAATCTGCATAATTTTTAGTACTTTTTGCTAACCTTGTCTTAAAGAATGCTTGATTACTGCCACGGCATTGCCAATTCTTCGCTACTTCGACTCTCTCCTTTGACTTGTTTCAAATTTTTAAATTAAATTCGCAAATGTGGGACTCCAAGCTCAGGAGGGCGACCAAGGTGTAGTGCACGTGTTTATGACTATAGGGTGATTAATTAAGTTTGAACATTGTTTGGGCGTTTGTGCCACCTCCACTCTCTGATGTATATTTTATCGTACTCTGTTGATTTTGTTTCACACTGGCTATCAATTAGTTGTAAGAACATGGGAGATGAAATTGCACATTGTGCACTCTGTGTCCACATTGCAACGGCTCCTATTGTTTTATCACGACTCCCTCACGTTAAGTTGTCGATTCGAATCCGTGTTCCCAATACTTTGTAATACATCAGTTTGATTGAGAAGTGTCTAGGCGGAAGGAAAACTTGGGGCTCTCCAAGTAATTTTTTTCGCCTAACTGCTTTCTCGGGTGAAATGAATTTTAGACCATCGATCAGCGGTCATGCAAGTTTGTACTGACAATGCAAAACTTCTTACCCAACTTTGGTCTTGATTAGGGCTTAATCGAAATCCATTTATCTTTGCCTGAGCTGATGTTTTATGACTCATCAATCGATTCCATTGGAGTTAATCGCATCGTTCCAAATCATGTGGTTGAACAAGTGGTTTTGTTGATAAAAGGCCTATGAGTAGAAACGTGTTCGATACGTGAACGAGAGGTGTTTGGGTATTCCTGTGGTCCCGAATTATATCTCTTTGCACCGACTAAGGCCTGTATTTGTGTGTTTAGTGCATTCCCTTGACCCTCAATAGGGTATGCCATGCGAGGCTAGGCGGATGCATAAACGGTTGGGATGCCATATTTCGACGGGGGCGAAAATTCTCTGTGGTTAACTTTGCTTTCATTGCCGTTACTGAGTCATCGTGACGACATATATTTGAAGTACGTTTCTCGTGTCAGCGGAACGCGTTACCAAAAGCTGAGCGTTCTCTGCTAGATTCTGACCACTCTATAACCTGATGTGGCAGCTAACGACATCAAATTAAATTTACCAATTTTGGAAAGCTTCCGGCTCATAGTAACGTCGCTAACACGTTGAATCGCAACTATCCACATTTTTTTGTCTTGTCAAGTCATACCCGAGAGGTAGTCGTTTATGTCCATTGGGCACTTTTTTTCTAAATTAAATTTCCCTTTAAAGTTTGAAATGTTGTTGAGCCTTTGCACCTGATTCTTGTTATGCTGGTAGCAAAATTCATTCTTGAATTATTTTTAGTTGAATGGATATTTGACCTAGTATAGGTAACGAATATTTTCTGAATTTATCACTCGACACGTCATTTTTGTAGAACAGGTGGGACATATCTCATTGTACGTTAGAAATTGTCCTCATCCTCTGAGGATGTAAGTGTTATATTCGCATAGCCTATTTGTGTAGAAGCGCTTGGAAGGAGGGTTGAGGAGGAGGTGTAGGGTGTGAACGAAAATCAGTGCCACGAAGATGTTGGTAGCACTCGAGAGGAATTACAAGTCTTATTTGCTAGGTTAATAAGCCGAAACCCTCCTTCTTGGAGAGTTGTCCCTCAAACACTAGTTATTATTTTCCACTTCATCTATTTTCTTTTAGCCGATGTTTTAATATGTTTAAGATATGGATTGTCTCCGGTTTCTAATCTTTTTTGA